GTAATATAATCGCAAATTGTGGATATTAAATAAAAAAAAAGAGTGTGTGCAATTCACACATCGTAGAAGTGAAACTTCAGAAAATGATATGAATATAGAGTATCAGGAGTAGGATAATCATAAGGATTTTTTATATTATTTTTACCAAGTTTAAAAGTTATTTTACATTTTATTTGACATAAATATAAACATTACATAATAATCAGTAATGAATTTTATTATTTTTCACTTCCTGTGTAATGTATTCTATCAAATAACAACGGTTATCATGGCATCATCGCAATGTATTCTATCTCATTCTATCGCCGGCTTAATCCTATATATTTATATGTTTGTCTCTTTTTACTGTTGCATTTCCGTTGCATCGAGTTTCAAATCACAACGATCCTAAAGAAGTTTCACTTCAAAAATCTAATCAAGGATATTTTAAAATGCATTTCTAATTGGAAAGTCTCACGTGACCAATATAACAAGCTATTAGATTAATTTATACTATATATCATACACTTACACAAATATTACTTCTTTTAAATAGCACAATATGTAAGAACATCAAAACCATTCAATGTCATTCACTCATTCGTTGAATGCCATCCATACGAGTTATGTAATAAGACATCAGTTAAAAACCTGAATTGAAAAGGGAAAATAATCTCATTTCTTCTCTGATTGATGCGGCACTCGTTCGCTCGCCCGATAGGAGCCATTCATTCAATCATTCAGCTCGTGCACGCCTTTAGGTGGGTTATTCAATTTCCAAGCGAATGGCGCGGAGTTGGGAATGTAAATCCATTTGAGAATATTTGTTGTTGTTAACTGGCTGTTTGTGCGACTTCGTTTTCTTCAAAAAAAAATTTTCAATATAATAAATGTAGTATTGAGAGCCTTCAATGAACCTGCTTAAAGAGAAAATGATATTATATTCGCAGCGCTTAGCTCTTTATTCCCATGCTTTACGTATATTTTATGTATTTCTATCTACCATACACTTAAAATAACATGTAAGTGGTTTTCAATTGCCCAAGATGGCACTATAATAAGTCAAGTGAGAATTGCACAGATATACCAAGACTGATTTTAAAATGAAAATTATTATAAGTTGCCATTTTAATTGAAAAAAGGAAAACTTTAAATTGCGGTAAAAAAACGAACAATTTAAAAACAAAAAGGACTTAATATCGCCGCACGTACTTGTGGCTAACCGCGCGCGGATTATTAGTCAGTGCTGCCAGAAAAGTGAACAGATTTTTTAATGTTAAATATTGAAAAAATATGGTCTTAAAATTAAAAAAAAAACTTTTAAAAAACATTCTATAGGATTTATATGTAGGATTTATCTATATAATATAACCTTATGTTGCTTTCATTAGAATTATTTTTTTAAGGTTGGGATATGCATTTGTTCATACCACCTGCATATTACATACAGAAGATTATGATTGACTCATCGATCTCCGTCCACTCTGCTTTTAGAGAAGTATTAGGAGCAACCGCATGATACACCTATTACCACTATCCACACCTGAAAACCACCCTTTATTATTATCTATCGATACATATAAATATAATAAATTTGTAACAAAGCCGAATCTGTACATTAAATATTTTTTGGAAAATCTTATTGAAATAAACATTATTATTGATATAGAGGCCGAATCTATAGTTTTGAGAATTTTTGTCTGTCTGCTGTTACCGAATCACAGAAAAACCACTGGAGGGATTTCGATGAGCTATGGTATGGTGAGAGCTATTTATCCGGGTCAACATATAGGATACTGTTTACTGCGGGAAAATGTCTCATTTCTGAGAAAAAATACAAAAACTGCAATGTAAGAGTCTACTAATATGTAAAACCTTATAATTTGGTTTTTAGTTCACTTAAATTTTACTGTTTACTTGTACCAGCACTATTGGTATGATTTAAACATATTTCGTTTCTATCGACCCTTATACACATCAACTACCTATGTTTGATGTTTGCAAGACACTATTAAAGTTAAAAAATAAGACTCATTGCAATATCTTTCGTTTTAATTAACCCCCGACGCAAAAACGACGGGGAGTTATAAGTTTGACGTGTCTTTGTGTGTGTGTGTATGTATGTATGTATGTATGTATGTATGTATGTATGTATGTATGTATGTATGTATGTATGTATGTATGTATGTATGTATGTATGTATGTATGTATGTATGTATGTATGTATGTATGTATGTATGTATGTATGTGTGTGTGTGTGTATTTGTATGTTCGAATCACTTCTCGTATGTACGTTGACCTCATTCATCTTTTAAATTTATCTATATACGTACAATCTATATACATACGTACTTACGTACTTTTCTGTAAAAAACACATTTTTATATCTTCTCTGATAAAATTAAATAATCAGTGTTATGGTTATATTGGTTATATCGTCGAAGAGCACAAGAAATCTAATATTTGGTGTACGAATTTCATGTTTTTTTTCTTTCATGCTCTCAATCTTTATTATAAGGAAATAGCACACATGTATGTACTACGTACGAGAAAAAACATTTTATAAGGTCAAAGATACCTATCACCTCATGACCCATCCTATTTTGTTCAGCTCCTTTGAGACTATGCGTTTTCTTGTAATTGTTCCGTCGTTTCACCCCTTCGTCGACCTCTAAATTTACGATTTTCCGGACCCACCCAATTGTGTTTATTCACAAACTCATTACAGCAGCCTGGAAATAAACTTAGTTTATTGGTCTACTTTTTACATTTAGATTAGAAAAATATTCTCCTTCTATACATATAATAAAATTGTAACTAAGCCGAATCTGTACATTAAATTTTATTGGAAATTCTTATTAAAATAGATATTATTATCGATACAGAGGCCGAATCTATAGTTTTTAGAATTTTTGTCCGTCCGTCCGTCCCTCCGTCTGTCTGTCTGTCTGTTACCGCATCACAGAAAAACCACTGGAGGGATTTTGGTGAAAGTTGGTATTGTGATGGCTGGTATTGCAGGTCAACATATAGGATACCTTTTACTGCAGGAAAATATCTCATTTCTGAGAAAAAATACAAAAACTGCATTGTAAGAGTATACTAATATGTAAAACCTAAGAATTTGGTTTTTGGTCATCTGCACGCGGGCGGAGCCGCGGGCAATGCTAGTATATTTATATATTTAAAAACGATCTACGCTTAACATCTTTTTTTATAAGATCCAAAAATTATCTGCTGTATCTATGTAGTTTTAATTTTTGAAATTCATAAATTGCTTCTAAGAAAATTCTTACAATAAAAAATCCGTTCCCCCGATAATTAAATTAATTTAATTATTATTATATTATGCAAGTTAAGTAATGCAAGTTTTATAAGTACACTTTGAAAAGGGCAGATATAACTTTCGAAACCACTTTAAAAATAGCTAATTATGACAGTTTGGGGAGAATTTTTTTTCTTCAAATTTATACGAGAAGCCCTATTAATTGAAAAAAAATTGACCATAAGTACATGTTAATCAAGAACTACAACTCCATAAAGAAAGGCATACATCGAGTACTGGTGGTTAATTAAAACAAATACGTTTGTGTATAGGCTGAGTAGTTGTTGTATGGAAGTATAGAACATCGTTTAAAATCAATTTCAAGAAAAAAACTAATTTTATTCCCCACCTGATTGATGCGGCACTCGTTCTCAATTCCATTCGCTCCATCATTCACTTCTTGAGTGCACGCCTTTGTGAGGCTTTCAATTTGTGGCATAAAGGATTGCTGTAAACCTATTTCGGTAAATGTTTATAATATAAAATACGAATATATTACCTAATTAGCGCATGTAACTCGTATAAAAACGGAGAAATCAGCCCGGTCTATGTTATCTGTTTATACTGATGTCGGCTGCCGCTGATACTTGTTAATGCCTATATTTGACCTGCGTGTGTATATAATAACCAAAATATGTGAAACTTGAATCGAATCAACGAATGGAATCATCAGTAGAATGAATATTCTACTGATGAATTTCTATTTAAATTATTATTATCTGTAGGTATACTAAACTACTAAATAAGCCTCGTAAAAGGTTAATTAAAATACGATTGTGTAAGTGATACGCGATCAAATATTTAGACAAAAATACTGACAATTTTGTCGTATTTTACAACAAAAAAAAAATCACAAAATCTTACATTTTACAAATTTATTTAAAATTACGATTTATTAGTCTTTCTTAATTTTTCTACAGGACAAATGTATCGATAAAATAAAAATTTTCATTTTTTCTAATACACGAACCCACTACCTCTCTCTGGCGTAGTAAGTATTACCAGACTTTAACGTCACGCTTGTAAACCCTTTTTAAATAAGTAAATATTATTTTTACGAATTGAATTCAATGCGTACCTTCATATCAATTCCGGACTATTGAATAGTGAAAAATTCTTTGAAAACTGTAGGTACTTGAAAAGTAATATAAAAGTAAATTTAAAAATTTATTCTTTGTCTAGACGTAGTCAAAGGGTAAAATACGGATGAAAGTTTGTATGAAATTATCTTTTTAGAGATTTTTTTCTAGTTTTAGCGCAAGCGAAGCCGAGGGATCTGCTAGTATTATATAAATGTAGAAATATTAGTAACAATTTAAATCCTTAGACATTGTAGGTAAATGTTTTTATTTATTCATAAAAAATATAGATCATTTTTTAAAATATTATGTTTAAATATAATAAATGAAAGTGCAAATTTTAAATATGACATAAATATTTATTATTATCAATCAAATATGTAGACAAGAAAATATATTTATTATAGTAGAATTCAAAAGTACAAACTTTGCTCCGCCGTCATGTTGAAACGGAACGCAAACGACGAAATATGAATGGATTATCTTTATCATCTGTCAAAGTCAAACCTCCCGCGATGCTGAAGCGCCGCGATAGTAGCAAATAATTTTACATTATTGTAATAAAGAATTTTATTTTATTAAAGTTATCTTGTGATAAGTGCATTTTCTTTTTTACGATGTTGGTGCTGTTTGAGACTCCGGCGGGGTACGCTATATTTAAGGTAAGCTTTAACACGTGTTGACTATAACCTATAAGTAATTTCGAAACAACGATGATTATTTTTAAAGTATTCTTTAAAATGGTGTTATAAGTTATTCATTAAAGCAAGAAACGATTTTTATCTATGTTAGATTACTTAAAATTTAACGTCACCTAAATTAATTTTGAATTCCACCTTGTAAATAGCGTGGTCGGTATTGGCGTAGTGTATGAAGTCTTTAATACTGTGTAAATTCAATACATTATTAGTTATCTTTATATCTTAATCTATAGGGTTTTTAAATAATCTACCACAGTATCATAAAACATGTATAAATAATACAGTTAGGTTGTTGTTATGATTACTTTCAAAACAACTATTTCCATGTGATTTTCATAACAATTTTTTTATAAGAACTTTATTTAACAAAGAGTCATTCATAGTTAAAGTAAAGTAATTCCTAGCTGTGAAGTATAAATAAAATAAATTATTAGAAAATATTTTGTTTGTTCTAGTTGCTGGATGAATCCAAATTATCTCAGATAGATGATTTGTATCAAGAATTTAACACACCGGAAGGTGCAGCATCTGTGTAAGTACTAACATATATTCTTATCATCATAATTATAGGAAATGTTTAATGTTTTTGCTGATTATTCGCAACTTTATTATGATTATCCTGTTGTATTTATATAATATTTTTTATTATAAATTTTATAATGAAATATATCTGGCGATATTCAGCATTAGATTGGTATGTAAATATTTATACAAAATGAAGTAGTCTTTTAAGCATATTTATCTTACCTGAATTTCTTTCCTTATTTTAAATTTTGTTTACAGTGTGAAGTTAAAAAACTTCATTAAATTTGAGGATACCACAGAAGCTTTAGCTGCAACTACTGCAGCAATTGAAGGAAAACTGTCCAAAACATTAAAGAAAGCTCTAAAAAAACATGTCTGCAAAGAAATTCAAGATCAATTACTCGTAGGAGATGCTAAGCTTGGTAGTGCAATCAAAGAAAAGTTTGACCTACAATGTGTTTCCAATTCTAATGTACAGGAGCTGTTGAGATGTATTCGCTCGCAGATGGACAGTCTTTTAACTGGATTGCCAAAAAAAGAAATGACAGCCATGGCACTTGGTTTAGCTCATTCTCTGTCAAGATACAAGCTGAAATTCTCACCCGACAAAATTGACACCATGATAGTCCAAGCCCAATGCCTTCTCGATGATTTAGATAAGGAATTAAACAACTATGTTATGAGATGTAGAGAATGGTATGGTTGGCATTTCCCGGAACTTGGAAAAATTATTACAGACAACACATTGTTTGTAAAAATTGTAAAACTTATGGGCACGAGGGATAATGCAGCTAAAACTGACCTTTCCGACATCCTTCCTGAAGATTTAGAGGAAAAAGTTAAAGAAGCAGCTGAAATATCTATGGGTACAGAGATTTCTGATGATGATATCATGAATATACAGCATCTGTGTGATGAGATTATTTCCATTACAGATTATAGAACACATTTGACAGATTATCTTAAGGCAAGAATGATGGCTATGGCGCCTAACTTGACAGTTTTAATTGGGGAGCATATAGGGGCTAGATTAATAGCTCATGCTGGTTCACTAATGAACTTGGCAAAGCATCCCGCTTCAACTATACAGATATTTGGTGCCGAGAAGGCACTCTTTAGGGCATTGAAAACAAAGAAAGATACCCCTAAGTATGGTTTGATATATCATGCACAGTTAGTTGGGCAATGTAGTACAAAAAATAAAGGAAAAATGTCAAGAATGTTGGCGGCTAAGGCCGCTCTAGTTACAAGAGTTGATGCTTTCGGTGATGATGCTTCATTTGAACTCGGAGCAGAGCATAAAGTCAAATTGGAAAACAAATTGAGGCTTCTAGAAGAAGGAAATCTGAAAAGACTAAGTGGAACTACTAAAGCTATGGCAAAGTTTGAAAAATATCACAGTAAATCGTGAGTGAATTTGTTATTCATTATAATATTATTATTTTGTTTTTTACTTTATTGTCACTTATATTATTATTAAATAAAAAAAAATTACAGGTGAAAAATGCAAAATAAATATAAGCAATTATCAAATTATTTAAGTAACTAAGTTATCAACTTTCTTTTTAGGTCACAAAAGTATTATTTTAATTTTTTAGTGATTAACATGTTTTAAAGCTATTAATAATGAAATTCAATCAAATTATGTATTATTATTGTAAAACAGTACCTAATTTTATATGTTTTTATTTGCAACAGAGAGGTATTTGAATACTCAATGGCAGCTGACAGTACCTTGGATAAGAAACCCATCAAGAGAGAACATTCTCCCGATGAAGATGGAGTTTCCACTAAAAAGATCAAACTTGAAGATGGTGTTGCTAATGTGAGTTTAATATTTTATTTACTAAGTCTCCTTCTATATCTTGGCATTATATAACATATGCAGTCTGGTATTATACATTTCCGCCATTCTTTTGTATAATTTGTAATACGTAAGTATAGCAATCTACAGTAGATAACATGCATAAGCAAGCTCACACGTCTTCGGTTGCCACTTTTCGATTTATCTAACTAATCTCATTAACTCCTTTTACTTAGATATTGGAATAATTCAAATCTATTTAATTGGACAATATTGTGTTTATTATTGATATTATAGATGTTTTTTATGTATAATGTATACTTAGGAATATAATTTACGCTTCATAAATCATAAAAAAATCAATTATAACTTTTTAATATTTCATGCAAGGAAACATTTTATGTGAGCATCTTCGCATACGAAGTCAGCTATGGATTGAAAATTTTTACTTTAATTTATTTATTAGGAACAGTTTATTATTAAGGTTTTGTAGTCGCTTCCCTTTTCTATGTTCATTTTGATATAATCTTTAATAGCAACTTTTGTTTGTTTCATTTTCATTTTTCAGAAAAGATAAAGACATACTGGCATTTTTTATGAGTGATAAATTAATATAAATTTATAAAGAAATAAATATTGTTCAATTGAATTTTCTTCTTAATGGCTTTAAAGTGTGCCGATTATTTAAATTTTGGAAATGGTAAATTTAAAATAACATACATTTTAAAAGTCAAATGTATGAGTAAATTATATTTGTTTTCCTCCTTGAGCAAAGTAATTCAAATAAGGTTGTGATTGTGTTTTTAGTAGGCAAGGGTTGTAAATTTCCTCTTAAAATGAATGAATGTTTTAAGTCATTTCATTATTTTGCTTAAAGATTCATACTTAGTTCGGTTCGCTTGGCCACATATTATATAAGTTGCTGCGTTTGTTTTAGGTGTTTATTTATGTGGTTTATTCATCAATCAAAAAAGTACTAGAGACACAATCAGCGACAAAAAAATGTCCCTACCGAATGAGCGCGCTTTTATTTATTTTTTTGTGAAAACTGTATATTTCTTTATTGTGCCTAGGACGCTGTGTTTCTTTCTGTGTTTAGTTATTTTAAGTAATAAATTAATAATTATGGAAGATCGAGTAGACATTTTCCTTTAGGCATTATAGGCATTTTTATACACAAACACTGGTATGGGTTTTCAGTTTTTATATTTGTACCAAAAAAGCTATGTAAATTTTTAGAACCCAATTTTTTGTTTTTTTTTTTACTTTCACACTCAAATTATTTTACTTAAGTCTTGGTTCTATAGTTTAAATTTGTATTATAAGTCTAATATAATAATTTATATAGTATTTTATTTAATTCATTAATTTATTGTTATCAGGTTAAAGTCAAAAAAGAAAAGAAAATAAAAACAGAAGATTTAAAAGTAAAGGTAGAGCCTAAAGAAGAACCAGAGAATGGAGACGCAGAAGTTCCTGAAAAGAAGAAAAAGAAGAAGAAGTCGATAGCACCTGAAGCGTCAGAAGATAATGACGCAACACCAGCACCGAGCAGTGAAAAGAAGAAGAAGAAGAAATCTTTAGTCACAGAAGTAAATGAAGAAAATAATGTGGAAGCACCTGAACCAAGCAGTGAGAAGAAAAAAAAGAAAAAAAGACAGTCAAAAGTTGATGAGGAATAAAATATAAAATGAGCTGATTTTACACTACATTTTTATTAATGCAAGAGATGATGACTAATGAGAAATAGAAATATTGACTTTTAGCGAACTTTAGTGCCCTAAGGTCCACTAGGAAAAGAACTAAACTTTTAAAGAAAGTCTATTGTAAAATAGTTCCATAAATGTAAGCAGTTTTAACAAAATACTTCCCGCATTTCTTGTTGTTGGACCAAAATTGGTCCAGTAAAAGTAAAATGGACCACACAATGAACATGGACCTTAATAAAAGTATGGTGTAAACTTTATTTTAGGTTAATTTGTTATAAATAATATAGGCATTATAAACAAATTTTGTTTTTATTTTATTCATTAAGTTTTAATTAGAAACCGTGCAGGTTTCTTTAGAAGGATGAATACGAGTATTTAGAAGTATGTAATACAAGTATTTTTTGTAAAATAAATATTTTTTTACATGAGACTTAGCTTTTTCACTATAGATATTTTAATATTTAAGTTAATATTGAGCAGAAGCTAACAATGTTTTTTGGGGTAACTTCTGTAAATTATTACCGATTTACCCTAGTTTCGCTCGGTTGCCCTAAGCTTGAATGATTTCAGAACGCATAAAAGACAACAAACAAAATAAGTATACAGAATAACCCACCAGAGTTTCATCACAATCGTAATAATGGTTTAAAAAGGCATGGGGGATAAACATGCGAACATTTATTTTTATTTATGTAGATAGGTAACAAAATGCTAGGTTAAAATCTGGAATTTGCCATCTTATTAGTCTATTGGGAATTCCGCCATTAAACACCTATCTAGAAAAGAATGTAGTTTCTATAATTTTAAACAGATAAGTATCTTCATAAGTAGGGTGTTAATGTAATGTTATTTATTATTCTCTCGTTCCGCGGGAAAGCTACTACCGGCTCGGAAAGCAGTTCTGCTGAGAAGAGCTGGTGAGAAACTCGACGGTTGCTCTTTTAAAAACCGAATAACAGTGTAGTATATTATAGTAGGGGAGTCCAAGCGGGGATTTCGGGATTTACTAAAGCGCGGCAGAAGTAAAAAAAAATTGACCATCAGAAATTCTCGAGCGCGAAAATAAGATTTTTTTTTTTGAAAACATTATAACTATCCTGCATAGGAGTCAATTTATCTTGATTCCACACGTTTCCATCTGTAGGTATGTGGTCTGGGAAGCGAGGTAGTAAGTCGCTAATAACTAATAGGTACATTTTGAAATAAATCCACAGTAAATCTATACTAATATTATAAAGAGGTAAATTTTGTGAGTTTGTGACGTTGTAGGGGGTAATCTTTGGATCAACTGAACTGATTTTGATGAAATTTGGTAAGATAGTTTGAGACCCTGGGAAAGGCATAGGATACTTTTTTTCCCGGAAATCATACCTTAAGGGTGTAAAAAATGGGGATGAAGGTTTGTATCGGGAAGCAAGCTAGGGACGAACCCGAGCGAAGCGAGGAAGAGTCGCTAGTATTCAATAATTTCGCCACGATTTTTCTCGGATTTTATTTCTTATGCTAAAAGTAAGTTGAAAAATTTGCTTGGATTTTTATGCGTGATTGTCGTTTTTACCTTTTTTTCTGGTATTTATATTTGTTGCGGCTTAATATTTTTCCTTCAGCGCCCTTCACTAAGCCCATTGGCCAATTTTAGTCTACAGATGGCACGAAAATCTTCTATTTTTCAAATAAATTAGTGGTTTCCGGAAAAAAAGGTTGAAAGGTAGCCCTTAGCGTCCCGGCTTAGACCAGCTGATCCGCTATAAGGGCCATCCGTTCAGTCAACGCGCACTACTTCCGGCAAGACAACTTAATGCTCTTTAGGGTTCCGTACTTAAACATTTAAAACGAAACCTTATTTCTAAGCCGGTTTTTGTCTGCCTGTCCTAGATTTAAAGGCATGTTTTTTGTACTGAATAAGTTAGGCTAAATTATTAGTAGAATACGTTATTATGGTGGAGATCCTGATAGGTATATAAAATAAACAAAAAGCCAAGTACAAGAGGCTACAATAAACATGTTTTCGTATATACTTATTTGTTCTATTGTGATAAGTAGTTGGTATTTTTTTATTTTATTAAAAAAGCTATAAAAAAATGGCCAATTAATAAAAGGCTCGCGGCCTAGTCGTGACGATGATTTGACATCGAAAAACACTCTTAACTCATACCACAAAAGTATCAATTGTCTAGAACCCTCGGTGTGTTAACCCGACTCCCACTTGACCGATTTTTATATTTACATATACAGATAGAATTTTTCGAGTGGATGACCACATAGAAAATATTTGACATTACATTTCGGTCGCGCTTATCTATAATTAAAATAAAATTCTTAGTCGAATCTGTACCTATATTAAATACTTTATGAACATTCTTTTTTAAATAAGTAGTCATTATTATAGATACAGAGACCGAATCTATAGCTTTAAGAATTTTTGTATGTCTGTCTGGTAACGCATCACTAGGAAACTACTGGACAGATTTTGATGTTTAGTATGATGATACACACACACACACACACACACACACACACACACACACATCACACACATACTTTATTTCAATAAGTATGCACATTTCTTCAAGTACCTCTAGAGTTTCAGACGAGATAAAGAATTCAGTTAAAAAGTAGCTTTACACATATGTTGCTCTCGGTTATAGTCTCTGAGCAAAAATCTTTACCCGACGGCTGTGACACTGATGGTTGCTCCATAGAGACATGAGTGCACGAGTAAGTACTTAGGAATATAGAGTAAAAATAGCGAGTTACCCTCGCTCCGCTCAGGTTCGTCCCTACTTACATTTTAACGTTCAGTATAGATTTCTCAGAGATGAGATAACCAGCTATAATCATACTAAATTTCATCAAAATCCCTTCAGTGGGTTTTCCGTGATTCGTTTACAGACAGATAGACAAAGATTCTAAAAACTAGATTCGGCCTCTGTATCGATTATAATATAATTAGAATATTATAATATAATTAATAGATTAGAATAAAAATATTTTAATGTACAGATTCGACTCAGTTACAATTTTATTATATGTATAGACTTATAGTATAGACGTAGTCAAGTAATCTTGACTCATATGTATAATATGCGGCATCGAACCCGTGATCTATGGTATGACAACCAACAATGTGTCGCTACCAACGTTTTATATAATCTTGTATTTGTATGGCGATTGGCGGCTTTATTAAACAAATAATAAGATTATTTTTTATAATACTATGCATCTATTTTCATTTTCTAATGAAAATTATTATCTGCAATTGGGTATAATTAAGGTTTAGTTAATTTGACATTTCGCAGTTGTTATTTGTAGAAAACTAAATAATGTATGGGAATGACACATCTAAGCGCTGGGTCACGGGATCAGTATATCCATACTAATATTATAAATGTGAAAGTGTGTTTGTTCGTTCGTTTGTTTGTCCTTTTTTCATGTCGAAAGAGAGAGATAGATTGGCGTGATTTTTTGTGTGGAGATAGTTGGAGGGCTGGAGAGTGACATAGGCTTACTTTTAGACATATGTACTTTTTACCGCGGATAGTTTCCCACGGGAAAACACGTTATAATACAACCCACAACAACTCATCATATCTATGTATATATTTAATATATAGTCTATCTACTTCATACTGACCGTGAGCCGTCCATAAGCCGCTAGTACCCTCATATATTTTTAGTTTTGCTAATAGCGATAATGTAGAAAAGCTTGACAGTCAACTTGAAAGTCAACACAATAAAAGAACTGCAAATGGTTAGATTGTAGAAATCGATCAGGCTTAACTTACCAATTAATTAAAAAGGTGTGAAATTTTAAACACCGCTCTCTGTAGTAGTTTAATTATTAGGAACTAAAAGAAATAGAGGCAAAACACGATTGCTGTTTACTGTAGCAATTAATTGTGAAGTTAAATGAAACTAAACGTGATGTACTAAATCTTTACAATTTTAGGTAACACTTTCTAAGATTTACGCGAATATTTGACATTTTAAAATAATACCATCTTTTCGGTTTTATTTACATTTTTAGTTCCCGACTTTTCGAATGGTTTACAGCAATCATGGTCACCCGAGAGACTCCCGTGAGAGAATCCAAAATAATAATAATAATAACAATTCTAACTAAATAAATATTTAGGTAGTTAGATAATGAGGTAGTGACTCGTTCGATTCTGAGCTTTTAATCTACATGTGGCTCGAGCAAGAAGTGAACTCCCGACCTTAGTGCAGTAGACGAGCTAGGGAAATACATGCCGTATTTCCTACATGAAAACTAAACAACACGAGTGGTAGAAGCGTTGAGGCATGAATATTCAACATTACAAATTAGTATACCTGAAGATGATCAAAAGTAGAAAAAGGAGTACCCTGTTATTCTAATGGGCTGTTATTTCCAAAGAAGGTGTTCTAAGCTCATTACGGGCATGACAAAATGGTTATTACAGTGTCGCCTGTCACAAGCGTAGCTTTGCCTTCACAAGCGATAATATCGAGTAAAATATTTATAGGATTACCTATATAATATAATTGTCGCGATACAACAATATATAATACTCCACAATCACGTCTGATTCATTTATTGTCTGTACAAGTGACCTTTTTCTTCTTAAATAATAATAATTCAGCAGTAATTTTGTACTTGCTATTTTGCAGGAGTCTGCACTCAGAGGGATCGAGCCACCGTCCCCCTCGCTTGCAGTTTGTGGGTTGGATGACTTTATATATCTTTAGAAAATTAGTATTGTTCTTAGACATGTACCTAGGTGTATTCATGATGTTTTCCTCAACAGCCATATTTTAATATGGCTCTACAATAAACGATAACTAAACATTACTTAACGTTTATTTTAGTTTTATGCCTGCAGTGTCTTTTAGACATCGTTTCGGAGCCAAAATGGATATTTAAACATAATATATCAATTAAAAGCCCCAATAATTCTAAAATCTAAAATAAATCTATTACAGTATGACAA